TCATAAAGCAGCTTACCGCCCAGAAGGACTGCAGCAGTTAATGTATCAGCCTGCTCGTTGCACATACATATAAATTAAGTTAAGGGTCCCTTTTCACTCCACACGTTCATCGGGAATACGTTGCTAGACCATTGTCTAATTTTTTTTCTAATTACTTGTTCACGACTAAACATGAATATATTGCCAGTATTCATATACCGCATGCAACCTCTAAAACAATTTTATTTAGGTCACATAAGGGTTACACATAGAACCACCCTGCTGTTCTCTGCAGTCCTTGGAGAACAAGGGGACAGTGTTCTATGCAGCCAGCAGTGAACTTCTAACGAAATACAACCAAATCTGTATGTGTTAGAAGCATTTGTAATTATTATGTTAACAATAAAATACAGCAAACTGTATGTTATGTGTCTTTTAACATATGTCAAACAACAAATTCAACAAAATAGATTGTGCAATAAGCGATGCTGTAACATTCAGGTAATCTATACCTTGAAATAGCACTTTTGAAACTGACTGGCTTTATGTGTCAGCTTGCCAGGGATGACAAATTGGGCTCTACATTAGAACTCTCCTCATAATGGCTCTTCATGGCCTAATGAATATCACCAAAGACATACAAATCAAGGTGGCCTTCTACCGCCAGACATGTTTCAGTTCTATAACCTCATAAACATTTTATGCTCCGCCTTAGCACTTTTAGAGGACTGAGATGACTACTAACAGAAGAATCATAACGCTCATCTTCGGCAATAAAAAACATGTTTAAATGTGTAACTGACAATAATGGACTGAAATGTAGAGGGCAAATGACATTGGGCCCTGTCAATGCGAGGTGAGAATAATGACGGGTCAGAGGGGGGGGGGGGGGGCAACATCGTGAGATGGACGAACAGTAAGCAGCTTGGGAGGTGTTGTACTGCCACATCACGGCTTTCAGCGCTGGCTGTTTTAAAGATCTTTATGGTTTTTTTTTTTTCTTTTTAGGCCTGGGGGGATGCATTTTTTTTTTAAAAAGCCCTCGCTTATATAAAAGTGGTAAATGTTTCGTTTCGTAAATATAAACACTACTTTCCAAACTAGGTTTTTTTTTTTTTAAGGTAAGCTATTGTTCAGCAATGGTTTTTCATAATAAAAATCGCTGTGGAGTTCCTGGACCTGAAAGAGATGGATAAACTAGCTAAGGAAGATCAATTACAGAACAACCTGAATCCAGTCTCTTATCAACAGATTAGATTGATTGAATAATTTAATGACATTAGTAGTCATGAAAAATATAGCACAAGCTGACGCCTAGTTGAAAACCACGGCCGCCTCCAGACCAGAGCAAGTGCTACTATTCTACGGGGTCACAATGACGACTGCGCAGGTACGGTTCTCAAATGGTGTGCCGTATAGGGTTAAAAATCAGCGGGTCAGCCATGTGAGTATGGGACTAGTGCCGTGAGACAGTAGACCAGGGGTGCCAAGAGGTCCCAAATGCAACATATCAAGGCAAAACTTTTTTGGCCATCATGAAGAAAAATCGGCCAAAAATTGTGAAATTTTTAAAGGTCGCTGTAAGTGACTTACAAAAGACAGTTAAGTTGTGCTTCCCTCGACACACCGTAGAAGATTATAGATAATTTATTGACAGAACGCGAACGTTAAAGCGTCGTTGCCTGACCCGCAGAAGAAGCTCAGAAGCAGAAGAAGAAGAGCCAGAAGAAGAAGAAGACAGAACAACACTCGGGGGACTCCCCAGAGCTTTTTTGTCTCAATGCTAAGAATTTAAGAAGAAGAAGTGAGTAAAATCTTCGAAATAGTTCCTAGTCTGTATCGTTTTTATCGTTGTCCCAGAGTCTCTATCTAAATGTAAATAGCAAAAGAAGCTATATTCTGTAATGTCATTTAATGCGAGTGGGCTAGAGACGGGGCAACATCGTAATACCGGCATGCCGGTTTTCGAACCCAAGCTTGAGAGGTTGCCGCCTTACCATAATAAGAGAGTAGGCGCGTTTGGGAGCCGACGTCCAGAAGCAATGGCAAACTACCAGCCAACTGTTGGGGTTGGTTCTGCAATGAGTTAGAAATCGACAACCCAGCAGACGGGAAATGATTAGTCGAAAATGTTAATCAAATTTAGACAGCCATCAAAGTTCCAATGGAGCTGAGCTTAGTTTTGAAAACACTACTTGACTCCGGCTGACAGGCCCGTGCTGCTGACAATACCGTTCGGTCGGCTACGATGCGTAAATGCATAGCGGGTAGACTCAAAATGGGTGCTTGTGCTGGGTTTCGGCAGGGGTGCCGCAGGGCAATTATGAAGAAAAGTCGGCTAAAATGTGAAATTTACCTAGAGAAGGCATGTAAACACTCAAAAACTAAAATTTAAGTAGTCCTGTTCGGCCTCGCCTTGTGCTTCGTCGCAAGATAGTTTAGACTTTCTTATTTGTGATAACCGATGTGTGTTAACGCGTCGTTGGCCTGACCCGGTGACGTCAGCAGCATGACCCGTCAGCTTGAGCCAGTCATGTTGAAAACCATCAGCACAACACTCGGGGGACTCCCACAAGCTTTTTGTCTCAATGCTAAGAATTTAACTAACCTAAAGGTGATGTAAAATCCTTAGAAGAGTTAGTTTCTAGTCTGTATAGTTTTTTATGTTGTCTCCCGCGTCTTCTATCTATTTTTAAATCTCTATATCTCTATTTCTGTGATGTCATTTAAGTTTGCTCTGTGGCTAAGTCACGATGCGACCCAACGACCCCCCCCCCTTGTCGTGAATCAACTGATGGAATGCAACCGCCGTAGCACCCGCTGGCCACTCTCTGCACACCCGTCCCAATGTGATTATAACCCTACACAGGTCAGGCTTTTCCGCTGGTACTCTGACCCATTCCTCTCCTCGTCCAATGTTCTCCAGCAAGCATACTTGTCTTATTGTGTCTTCTGCTTGAGCCATCCACAATTTTCCTCTTTTCAGCCGATGACCCTTGATTGCAGTCAAAGCTTCATATAGCCTATCTGCAATAGTCGGCAATGCAAAGATGTATCGCATGCACACAATCGGGGTATCTCTTGTACAACACAGGATCAGCCGCATAGTTTCATTCTGTATGCGTTCCAGTTTCACTAGCTAACTCTTTGAGACAGTGAGAAACCTCGATCCATAATCAATTACTGAGATGATTAAGTGCTGGCAAAGTATAAACAGCATTCTCTGCTCCATGTCCATCGCTGCCAAAATCTTCAGTGCATTTATGTCAGTGGTTACTTTAATAACCCCAAAAAGGGGGATATTTTTTGGAATGATCTCGTTTATCAAGATTGCTAGGGATCGCACCTGGAATACGCTTTGTGAGTCGCTCTCCGCAAGCGTTTGCAGTTCTGCAGAGAGGGGGAAGGAGGTAAGGAGAGAAAGAGAGAGAGAGAGAGAGAGAGAGAGAGAGAGAGAGAGAGAGAGAGAGAGAGAGAGAGAGAGAGAGACTGGGACCATATTCGATAAAAACTGTTGCATTGAAAGGTAATTTATAAGGAAAATAAACGTAAAAGATCATTTTCCACGCCCTCCGGCATATTGGGCAGATAGGTCTAGAGTCTATTGTACAGATCAATCGGCACTCACTGTGTGATGTGGTGAGCTTTACTGGGCTGTGTGGTCTTGAGGCATGGGGTCCACCTCGAGTGCTGGAGGTCCGGGGTCTAGGCCCCGGTGAAAGCTGGGATTTTTTCACATCATCGTGATCAGGTGCCTTGCCGACTGGCGTGGGCGATTATGCCTCTCCATAATCTGCGATCTCCTGCAGCATGTATCATTTCGTGTGCCGACACACCTCCATGCCATGCAACAAGACTGTCAAGCATCTTCTCTGGTTGTCTTCCTCTATCCCTCCTTCCACAGATCTTTCCAGTGGTCACAACATGTTCTATTTCCCCTCTTCTCATAACATTTTTTCACAATAATTCCCCCTCCCCGGTATCTTGGTATTAAGATCGGACGCCCATGTGTAATGTTGCGCACATAAAAAAAACCCTTGGCAGTTGGAAATCGAAAATGGCGCTGCCATGACACAATTTAAAATGTACCAAAAGTATTTTAGGATCCTCGCCGGTGCTACGGAGTTCGTGCACTATACAAAGAAACTTCTGACTCAGACTTAAGTTAGAAGTAGAATGGAGCACTTATGGGTTACCACTCTTGTGCCAAGATGTTGATCTGTTGTTTAAAGATTAAACCTAAAACTTCCCAGGACTTCATTTAATGCCCATTTAAGGAAATAATTAGTTCTTAATTTTATTCAGTCATAATATGTATTTTCATATAACATACTTTAAAAAAAACTTAAACAAAAATAATTGAGCGATTTATAAAACAGCAATCGTGTTAATTATACAATACAAAGCATTATACATCCCACTTATAACCTGGAGGCTTAAACGAAATATTTTTTAAGTTTTTAATATTAAATAACTTCATTATTATTTAACACAATATTACTAACACATAATCAATAAAAGACTAAATGACCAAAGGTGATTATTAAGCGCAAGTATCCAATATTAAAACGGATTGGGGGGGGGGGGGGGGGTGTTTTACAAACAATTCTATATACACCAAGTATAACCAATACGGGTTGAATAAAGGTTGCCTCCAATCTAGAGACGGCCTTGATTGAATAGAATATAACTGTAAAGTTTATTTTTAGCTTTAATCTCTTAAATAGCGTACTGCCATTTGTTTGTTTGTTTGTTTGTTTGTTTAAAAAAAAACTAAGCCTTTCATGTGAATACAAAAATAAAAGATAGAAATGTTTAAGGACTACTAACATCTCACGCTAGGAGTTGCAGAACGATAACTACATTTAGTCATAGAATGGTTGCAGCACCTGGCCAGTCTCCATGACTATTGTTTTCAGTTGTAGCAGAAGTGTCGCAGACGTTGTAGGTGTTTGTTCGCAGGAGGGAGTTACCGCAGTTCGTTCTTGTTTCTTGGATACACTTATCAAATTATCGCCAACATGAGCCACGAAGTCCCAGAACAGTACCTTCCTAGGCTGTGTCATGTTGTTAAATGGAAAGATTTCCAAGGATATGGCTTTAATTTACACGCAGAAAAAGGTAAAGCGGGCCAGTTTATTGGAAAAGTTGACGAGAATTCACCTGCGGAGGCCGCGGGACTCAAGGAAGGAGACCGTATTGTTGAGGTAAACGGTATCAATATTGGCAATGAGAACCACCAACAGGTTGTAGCTAGGATAAAATCTGGAGGCGAAGAAACTCGGCTGTTAGTTGTGGATTCAGAAACGGATGAATGGTACAAGGAGCAGAAAAGGATCATACGCGGGGATGCACCAGAAGTTCGTTTCATCAGCTCCAAACGCAGCGACGACGAGGACATTAATGATGAACCCACAGGTATGAACATCATAGAGTGTGACGTGACAATAGTGAAAAATGGCTTGTTTACTCTTATTAGTTCGTGTATTTTTGTTGTTGTTGGCATTTCATTAGATATATAGGTGTTTATCTGTCTCCTTGGTATGTATGTTTTTCTTGTAGTAATTGTCTTTAAAACTGCAGTGCTACTGGTACTTCTTAAGTGAGATAATCCCGAAGTTGATGACAAGAAATGAATTAGGTATTTCCAAAACACAAATGTACGTAATTAACATAAATGACTGAATAAAATGACCATATTATGTATCAAATTGACAAGTTGGAATTAAAGGGACACTATAATTATATCCCAGTTATAACCTTGAGAATAGAACAAGATATTATTATTAGCTCTCCTTTAAATAACGGTCGCTAGCTGGAAGGCGACGGTCGCTTAGTCGGAGTTTCACTCCCTTGGCTGCAGTGCAAATACGGAGTGGTAAAGAGGGTATGAAACAAATGACATACTTACCTGTCATGCTAAGGTTGCCTAGGGTTAGGCTAGGCTTAGGGTTTGGGTTAGGGTAACACACGTAGCGTCGAGTACTTACCCATAATAACGGCCGCAATATGTGAAAATTTTCCTGTTTTTGATTCGTGACTTGTCCACTCCGTATTTGCACTGCAGCCAAGGGAGTGAACTCCGACTAAGCGACCGTCGCCTTCCAGCTAGCGACCGTTATTTGAAGGAGAGCCTTATTATTTATATGCAAACTTCTGCTACAGCAGAATAGACTGTGTCATAGCTAGTTTACTCTGGGGCCCAAATTGTCAGCTGCTAGAGGACCCAACCCCCAGCGTAGAAGAATTATTACTACAACACAACTGGCAATAATCTGCACGCCACTTGCTAGACCTTTGCAGGCCGCCAGTTGAAAGCTCTGAACTATGCCATCAGAACTGATTTATGATTTAAGAGTCGACATCATAGCACACTGGACATACCCAGAAATGCTCCGTCTCCCACAGCAAATGTCTTAAGGTGTAGATGCTATCAGAAAGAAAGATAATGAATAATAAATAGCTTTTTCAGTAGCAAGAATTTTGTTTTTAATCATGAGAAATTTGGCAAAGAAAAGATTGCTACAAGTATGATGGTTTCATAAGTAAAACCCCAAAATATAAAACTTCTCTAGCATCACTACTACAATAGAGTTACAAAGGATTGTTTTATATTATTACCAATTTTCATAAAATTCCTTAGAATACTAAATTCATTATATCCAAGACAGCAGTAGCTTTAATACACTATCCTAAAGACGGAAAGGTGCCACTGATGAAGTAGAATTAGTCAACTTCCAGGACCACAATGGAGAATGACAAATGAATGTTGAGGTTAGGAAGCCGTCATCATAACTTTGAAGTAGTAACGGCTGGAGCCAAGAGTTAGCATAAATGCCATGAGCATGATGGTGTTGAAGACAGGGACATAGTTAAAAAAAAAATTGTGATTATGTGGGTTAATGTAACTGCGCCTTTTCTTGCAGTTTGTAATTCCACCCGCCCCTGCAAATGTTGTAAGTTTAAAAAAAAAATGTTTGTTTTAAGCATCACACAATTTATTAATGACTCTACCCCTTGATTTATCTATAGAGTGTAAATAATGCGTTCTTGTATATTTTTGATATTTAATCAGGACATTCTGAAGAGATCTGGCTTCCCAAAATCGTTACTACTGCTGCATAAATTGCTGCTTTAAGTATAAAGTGTTCCCAATTTTTCATCAAGGTTTCTTTTTGTTCTTTTTGCTAACTACCCGGGACCTCTCGAGCGATGCTGGCTGCTCTGCAAAGAGCATACCTGTCTCCACTTTTCTCGGCATGCTCTGTGAGTCGCTTACACTTATAACATGTGTGTGCAGCTGGTACTCAAGCCAGCAGAAGACTGCAGTGACTGTCTGCACCTCCATTCTCCAATTAGGTGTTGTGGAATCATATACATCGGGGCTATTCAGCTGGCGGCCCATGACCCAGATCTGGTCTGTCGAGGTCTAGCAAGTAGCCCTCTGATCATTGCCAGTTGTATTGTGTGAATGATTTATCTATGCCTGGGTTCAGTCCTGTGGCAACGATCCCCATTTTCAGAATTGTGGCCCCTGAGTGAACTTAGTTGAATAGCCCTGATATACATGATGATGATGGTAACTAACTTACATATTGGCAGTTGCAGTCCATTTAGCTGTCTGGGCTATCCTCCGAATAGCAGTCCCAGATTAGCAAATTATCTTTCCGGTGACTATACCGCCACCGCCGAAAGTATCCCCTGCGCAGTGGGGAGTGGGGCTAAACTAGATGGCTGGGACTCACGAGCAAATAAAATGGAGAAAGCTGCAGAAGATGCTCGTGAGTCCCAGCCATCTAGTTAAGCCTCCCTCCGTGCAGGGGGGGGGAACTCTCTTACACTCGGCGGAAGCTTTTCCGCGGTATGTGGTATAGTCGCCGGAAAGAGGTCCACAATTTACATATGATTGAGAACCTGTTAGGGTATTTTCTTAGCCTCGATAATTTGAGACCGTTATTCGGAGTGTAGCCGCTGTCTTTGTTATGCAGCTTATTCAGTACCAACACTTTTGAGCCCCTTGCTCCTTATCAGGTCTATCTGGATTATATACTGTTCTGAACCCCTTGTTCCTCATCATGTCTACTTACATTATATACCATCTGAACCCCTTGTTCCTCATCATGTCTACTAACATTATATACCATCTGAACCCCTTGTTCCTCATCATGTCTACTTACATTATATACCATCTGAACCCCTTGTTCCTCATCATGTCTACTAACATTATATACTCTATGTTCCCTCATATATACTTATTCTATACTATTCTGAACCCCTTATTCCTCATCATGTCTACTTACATTATATACCATCTAAACCCCTTGTTCCTCATCATGTCTACTTATGTTATATACCATCTGAACCCCTTATTCCTCATCAGGTCTACTTACGTTATATAATATTCTGAACCCCTTATTCCTCATCATGTCTACTTACGTTATATACTATTCTGACACCCCCATCAGGTCTACCTCATCATTGTCTCTTACTATTATATACTATTCTGAACACCTTGTTCCCTCATCAGGTCTGAACTTATTCCTCATCAGGTCTACTTACGTTATATACTATTCTGAACCCCTTGTTCCTCATCATGTCTACTTATGTTATATACTATTCTGAACACCTTGTTCCTCATCAGGTCTACTTACGTTATATACTATTCTGAACACCTTGTTCCTCATCAGGTCTACTTACGTTATATACTATTCTGAACCCCTTGTTCCTCTTCAAGTCTACTTACATATGTAGTGTCTGAACCCTGTGTTCCTCATCTCGTCTGCACTTGCTATTCTACTTGTTTACATGATTATACATAATATTTGGAACCCCACCCCTTGCTCCTCATAATGTCTACCTACATTATACACTATCTGAACCTTTTGTTCCTCATCAAGTTTACTACATATATAGTATCTAAAAACCCCCCCCCCCCCCCCCCCCCGTGTTATCAAGTCTACTTAACATACGTACTAACTGAACCCCTTGTCTGTTATCAAGTCTACTTACAATATATACTATTCTCAACCGCTTGTTCTCCGGCAAGCTATATGTAAATACACTCTGCCCCTAGTAACTGCCTCAAATCCTTTTTTCTCTTGGTGATATTATTTTAACTCTTTTGGACCAGTGTGTTTATTAATAAAAGTAGCAGCTCATAATATAACGAGTTTAAATAGCATCCACGTGATACTGAGAGAGTTAGAGGCCTCCACACATGAATGCCCTTATAGAAGCTTAAGGTTCTGTACACATTGCCAGATTTTAACGCAAGATAACCAGAATTACCAGAATAGCCAGTTTTGAAAATAGTTTGTTTACACAAGTAGTAGCCAGATGGGGGGAAAAAACACACAATCATTACATGTAAAGTTGAGGCCACAGCACTAGTCATGCGACCCTAAATCCTCAGACTCAAAGACATCTCTCCCCTTGCATTGATGGCCGTTTGTGTGTGTTTTGTTTGGTGGTAGTAGTATGTTACTGGGATGATTAGTGTCTGCACCTTACAGCATTTCTGGGGTAGATGAATAAATCGTTGGGCTTTCCCGGATGGCTGTGATGTTGATAGTTTGTTAACCATTAATATGGTGGTATGCTTTTCTGCATTGTAATATAATTCCTTCTGCTTTTCCCCTCAAAAGGGTGGTTGGAACGTTATATTGTGGTTTACAGCTAAGTCACGATATCTATGCCTTTCTGCCAAACACATATGATCTCAGCACTAAGTCACCTTTTATGGTATTCTTGTTAAGGGTAGTGGGTCTGGATCTCCTCCCCCCCCCCCCCCCCCCCGCCCCCCATGAGGTTGTTGGAGACTGGGAGTAATAGAATTGAACATTGGAAGTGATCCTGGCTGTTTATATGAACAGACTGTGATGACAGTTGTGTTCTAACACAGTAGAATGGAGATGTCAGAGCTGTCAAAAGTAACCACCAAGTTCATATATAAAAAAAATGAATTAAATTCGGTGTATGCATGTAAGAAAAAGGGCAGATAATTGAAATACGGCATAGAGCTTACAGTCTAGTCCTTCATTCCCCTCTGTCCTGAGCAGGAGTGGCCTCCTCTTATGTGAGCACGATTATTTTTACAGGGTGGGGTGTATGCACCCACTCTCAACCCTCATCCTCCATTCTGGCCCAGCCTTGGCAGAGATAATTTAAATATATTATGTACAATGTCATTTCATTCAGTCATTTGGCCGTAGTAGATCGTTGTTGTTATTTTTTGCCTGGTTGTGCGGTCTCTCAGACTGCCGTGTGTCCACCTCTTGACAATATCCTATTGTAATACCATTGTCTGTTGGTATCAGACAGGGCACCTCAGAGAGCAGTGGGTTCTATCCCAATATCTCCCGCCCCCAACACACAGTCGAATATTTTAGGGGGTGGTAGATAGGCTGCCTTCAGTCGTG